TGGTTACAGTGCTGGCCACATGCACTGGGGCTGGTGGGTTTGAACCCAGCCTGGGCCAGCTAAACAATGACAGCTGCAACAACAAAAAAATAGCTGGCAGTGCCTGTGGCTCAGTGAGTAGGGTGCTGATCCCATATACCAAGGGTGGCAGGTTCAAACCCGACCCCGGCCAAACTGCAACAAAAAATAGCTGGGAGTTGTGGCAGACGCCTGTAGTCCCAGCCTCTCTGGAGGCTGAGGCAAGAGAATCACCTAAGCCCGGGAGTTGGAGGTTGCTGTGAGCTGTGATGTCACATCACTCTACTGAGGGTGACAAAGTAAGACTCTGTCTCTTAAAAAAAAAGAAAAAATAGCTGGGCATTGTGGTGGGCGCCTGTAGTCCCAGCTACTTGGGTAGCTGAGGCAAGAGAATCACTTAAGCCCAAGAGTTTAAGGCTGTTGTGAGCTGTGATGCCATGGCACTCTACTGAGGGCAATGCAGTGAGACTCTGTCTTGAAAAAAAAAAAAAGGGGGGTACCTGTGCAGGGTGGGAATGTGGGAGGCTGGGCAGCCTTCCAGGTAGAGGGGCAGCTCAAGACAGTGAGGTAAGCACAGGTGGAAAGTACCCCAGAAGCAGTGGGCACAGAGGGTGCTGTTGTTTGCAAGACTGGAGCCTAGTGCCTCACTGCCCAGGGGCTGTGGGACTCACTGTCCCTGCGATGGGGGGGGGGCACTTTCACCCAGCAGAAGCTGATGAGATCTGTTGTGTGCCAGGCCCCTTCCTGGGTACTAAGGGCCCATCCAGGACAGCCCAGACCTGCTAGGAGGGTTCCCGGGTATTGGACACAGATGGGGGTACACAAGGCAGGTGAGACTGTATAGCTAGAGTGATGCAGGGACTGAGCCCCTATGCTGGTGGCTATGGTGGTGGAGGGGCCCTTTCTGCCCCCATGGGCCTGGCCCATTTCCTGGACATAGGAGCTAGATTGACCTGTGGGTTGGTGGCAGAGACCAGCTTAGAGCTGAGGTCCTTTGGCCCAGAGCCTGCCAGGCCGGCAGCGGGGGAGGGAGTGTCTCTGTATAAATGGTGGTGGCAAGCAGGGGAGTGGAACTGTGGAGGCCTGTTGGCCTCGCCCACCCAGTATGTGCCCCATCATGTTGAGTCTCAGCCCAGGAGAGCCTGTGTGGCCCAGCCTGGCGCCCGGGACGAGGGCGTTTCAAAGTCAGGCTGCCTCGGAAGTGGTGGCGGTAGCGGGAGAATAACTCGACTCCCACCAGGCTGAGAATAGCTCGGAATTGGGTCACGCTCACCCAGCACTCCGGTCACAGCCTCCAGCCTTTGACAATAATCAGCTTTCTCCCAGACATCTGTCCCTTCAGAGAGGGGTTGGCTGGTGCAGGTTTTTACAAGGAGCAAAGTGGAGGGGCTGTGGGGGAGGGGCGTCCTTCCTGCTGCCCTCCTCCTTGCTTCCTTTGCTCTCCCTGCTCCGGGCCTTTGTGCCAGGTCACCTCCTTCTTCCTGCCCACCCCCAGCTCCCCTCCACTGCCCAGAACCCACCAATCTGCCCCTGGCAGGTGAGGAGGCAGCTGGGGTCAGATGGAGGTAGTGGGCCATACCTTGCTCCAGAGCCCTGGCCCGTCCTGTCCTGCCTCTCCTGAGGGTCAGTGCCCATCCCCTCCTCTGACCCCCTCCAAACCCCTCCTGGGTTCTCCTTTTTAATGCAGATAAAGGGTCACTAGGGAGTGAGCCACCCTGCTTCACCAAAGACTCTGGGGACCCATGTCTCTTCAGACCTCAAACTTCCTCCTGTTGTTTCCTGCTCGTTTTTTCCAGAGTCTTGTCCTCCTCCCAGAGTAGCCTTGAGAGGATGGAAGAGCTGGGTGATGTCACAGGCCTTCACAGCCCAAGTCCATGTTGCCACCTGGGTGTGCTGGTTATGCTGCCACCAGATGGTGCGTTAGGATGCCAAGCCTGTCCTTGTGACAGCGTAGCAGGTACTACTTGTAAAGGTCCCGGCATGCCTGCCAGGCACACTGCCTTTGGTTCTTTAATGTTTACAGACCCACAAGGCACTTCTGTTCTGGGTGACACCTTTCCTAAGCTTCAGTCTCACTCATGTTCTTGAAATGCCCATGAATCTGAGGTTCTCAAAATGTCCCTGGACCAGCTGCTTGGTGTCACCTGGGAGCACAGTGGAAATGCAAGTTCCTGGCCTCACCCTAGACCTACTGAGTCAGGAACTTGGGCAGGGCCACCCATGTTCAATAAGCCCTCCAATTTAGAGTCACTGCTGGGAGAACCTGGAATCTGTCAAACTATTCCTTCCTTCCTCTAAAAATGAAAACACCTTTACTAAGGCAGCAGCAATGCTGTGAGCTCCCTACACACAATGGGGCTGCTGTTTCTGAAGCCAAGTTGTCATTCAGAGGTTCCCTTCACCTTGGTTTGGTTGGGTGATTGCCCCAGAGTCCCCACATCCTTCTCTTGTGTCCCCGACTCTCCTGAGAAATGGAGGCAGCCATGGGAACTGTGTGTGGACCTCATTAGGCTCCTATTTGCACAAACCGAATGTTTTATTTTATAAAATGGGGCAAGAGTAAAACTTAAAGCTTGTGTGGGTGTTTGTGAGTTTAA